TGCCCCGTACGCCACGGTACATTACTGGGCATTTTTTCCCCAACTGCCCCGTACGCCACAGTATATTACTGGGCATATTAAGGTATTAAGGTATATAGGTAGTGTATAGGTTTGAGTAGTTTTTGGGAACAGGTGTTTTTACTTTTTCTCGGGTACATTTTGACTTAACTATTTTTCTTCGCTACATTTGAAAAAAAAAAAAAAAGCCGTTACTGAGTGGTTACGAGAGGAAACAATCTGCGTTAACTAGAAGGAAACTGCGAGGGCGCAGATTTCCCACGATGGTAATGTGGCCAGATAACGTTGACTAAGAGACGGGCTCGATCCTGTCGAACAATGTTGTCGAACAACAAATGGAAGTTGAGGATTGCCAAGCAGAAAGCTCCCGTGGAGCAGAGGAGAAAGTCCTTGGCCATATCTCCGCCAGCTCTTTATTTTCAAATGCAAACGAGGCAATGACTTTATCATGCGTTGCAACATGGCTGCCCCGACGGACAGAGCTGTCGCTGTCGAAACTTCCACGTCAAACCTTCGAAAGCACGTGGCGGTAAGTACAGTATCTGTGCTTTAGCCTGTGTTTCCCAAACGTTATGTTTATTGTTTGGTTAAAATCTTCCACCGTTAAGAAAAGTGTGCCTTTACTATGTCAATTATTGTCGCTTAGCTTAGCATCCATCTCGATAGCTCACGTTTCGGTGAAGTAGCGCTGTACCGGAGCACAATTAGAAATAATACAAGTTTATGATTGTAATTGCAGTTGGTCCCTAATGAAGTCATCTTCATTCCTGTATAATAGATTGGCTCTTTAAGAATTGCCGCTAAATGTGACGTTGCAGTGATAAAAGGATATTAAGATGGTGTTCATGCTCAAGGGAGGCACCTCATGTTGTAGCCAGGTACTTCTGGTATCTGACCAAAAATGACTAAATTATGCTAAATTAGGATTGTACCGAACAATTCTGGAAAATATATATTTTATATATTTTTATTTTTTACAAATTTTCATTAGAGCATATTGAACATTTTTTTAGAAAATTATTTATGTAATTTTTTGGTTAAATCCTAATGTCGCATGTAATTTTTTGTCAGATGTTTCATGAAAATTATTTGGGGAAAAAATAAAAAATAGTATTTTTTCTGCAAGTTTCTTATCAATTTAGAGCATTTTTGCATGTTATGTAAGTCAGATGTTGAAAAAAATTTCATGACAATATATGGGAAAAAAACCCCAACATTTTTAATTTTTCTGCATGGTGTTATGTAAGTCAGATGTTGAAAAAAAATTCATGACAATATATGGGAAAAAAAACCCAACATTTTTAATTTTCTGCATGGTTCTCATCAAGTTAGAGCATTTGGGGAAATTTCAGAAAAAATATTTTGGGAATTTTATTTTTTTAAAATTTTTAAAACAAAACCCTAATTTTCGAATAAGTTTTTTTTTTTTTTTAATTTAAAATTCTCTAAAAATCTTCAAAATGCTCTCATTTGATAAGAAACATACAGAAAAGATAAAATTTTGAAAGAATTTAGGCAAATTTTCACCTTGTGGCAGATGACAGAATCATGCAGAAGAAATACAATTTAATTTTTTTTTTCCAAAAATGTTCATACATTTTTCACCAACTGACCACATGAAATGCAAAATTAGTATTTTCCTGAAAACTAAAAAGAAAATTCTAAAAACTTTTGAAAAAAATTTTTTTGTAATATTTTGGTTAAATCCTAATTTTGCATGTAATAGTTGCATGGTTATGTAGTCAGATGTTGAGAAAATTTCATGAAAATGTTTAATTGTTTTTTACATTTTTTATCTTAGACAAACATGCAGAAATAGATATTAAATGTTGATATCATCACAATGTTGTGTATTAATAATGTTGCTAGCTCATTGCTCCCTGTATGAGTAAATGGTGGAATTTGATTTTGAAACTTCCCAAAAACTTAATCAGTTAGTGAGTCTTTGTGTAGATGGGAAGCAGAGCTTTGGACAGCTTCACTGTGGAGACTCTGGAGTTGTTGGCAGATCTGTTTTCAATAATCAATGCCAGTGAGCATGTTGTTGTTATCAGGCACATGACACATTGAGGAAGGATTTAGTTTCAGAAAATCCTTAATGATTGTACGTGGCTCCTTGTTTCTACCCTGTCAACTAAAGTAATTCACCCAGGTAATCACTGTACTAGATACAGTTCTACTTTGTGTTATCACCATTTTAATGTTTCTAATTGTTTTTTTTTCTTTTAATTTAAAGAGCAGGTAAAATATTTGAAGAACTGGGTGCCATTGCGCACGTGTGTGTGTTAATTGTTTTAGTGAGTTCAGCAGCATGATTGATAAAATGTCACTATTATTGCTATCAGCTATCATCAGTGTAAGGCCACATTTGGAAGTAGACAAACAGCATAGAGTATTAGACAACACAGCAGCCACATTAAAATAAGAATAAAGTCTGCATATGACTATGAAAAGAATGAGATCAAGACGCTTCCTCCTGAGATGCCTCACGGCCACCGGCTGCAATCGGCTCTTCGCGAGCTTGTGTGAGACATTAGACGTCATAATTAAGTTGAGGAGAAGGAGGCCAATGACCAGGGCCCAGCCACTAGAGCAGAAAGGTCAACGGCTGGAGTTTATTGGGTTGACGCCTGGAAATGCTGCTAAACCCTGCAGGCTCAGATCATTTGCAACAAATCACTTCCGACAGACGGAGCGATCAGCAGCTATTTGTGGAAGCGTAACATTTACTTAGAAGCCACAAGGTTGTAGGTTCAACCATCAGCCTTTGACACAGTAGTTAGTCAGAATGCAGTCAACACTTTAGATGCTGTTGATGCTGGACTTTCAGTGACAGCAGAAATGAACGCCTCAGGATTTTTATGATCCTGTCCTAACCTTTAGTCACCTGTAGACTTTTATAAAACTCATTTTTTAGCTCATAAGGACTAAATGTATTTGTATTTGACACAGTACATAAGATGTGATTTTATATTTTAATTTTAGTGTAAACTTTAATATTAGTCCAAATATTTTGGCTAAATATTAGCCCTGTCTGCCTCAACGTCCACCTCATAACTGTATATTTTACATTAGTTGTCTTTTGCTAACTTTTAACCATTTTTTAAACCTTTTTCTGTGTTGATATTTGTGAGTTTCATTCTTATTTTATGTAGGTTTTTTTTTTAAGGTATATCAACGCTAACAAACCAAGACAATGAAGCAACAGAACGATAATAAACAAATTATAGAGAGATTTCTGAGGAAAATATCTGGCATTATTATTTATTTATTGGCAATGAAGAGTGAAAAATGCTGGTAGCGCTCCACTCAGCTTCATCTGCAGCATATTGATGAATTGCAAGAACATTCATTTTTAAAATATTTTGCTCGCTACGAATGCAAAACCTGAGAATTCCTGTTTTTCACAGGTTTAATTGTTTGTCTCCTTTAACCTGGCCAAGAAAAAGACAGAAATAACACAGAGACCAAGGCCTTTTATTATGAAAAGAAAACAATGTTATTCTATTCAGTGAAGTCACTGAGTTACACACAGTGACTTAAATCAACTACACACTGTATCAATCAGTTGTGTATTAATTATTCTTTGTATTATTGTTTAATGCACTTTGTGATAAGATTTAGTTTTCTGACTTGAAAGTGCAGTTGCTTTAAATGATTAGTTCCACACAGTTGCTGAATAATGTATGAAATTTATCTTGATTTTGAAGCTGCAAGGTCAGTGATGAAGTAGCATATGTAGAAAAAAATGGAAAAAATAGTCCTGCATGAATATTTAAAGAGAGTTATGTTTGAGTTTGTTTCCTGACGAGAAAGCAAACAAATGACGAGGTGAAGGGAGTTTGTTTCCTGACGAGAAAGCAAACGAATGACGAGGTGAAGGTGTTTGATGTTTGAAAACAGCAGATTATTTATTCAGTAGGTGTTATTTTCTGTGAAGAACAGAGACGTAGTGTTTAGACAATTAGTTCAACAGAGAGAACTGAGTGCTGCATCCACATCCTCTGTTCATTACAGTGACAGTATGTAAGGGCTAAGAACTTTGTCCTTTACCTTTTGTCATAACATGTCATGAACATAGAGGAACTCTCACCACGATGCCATTGAAATGTCATTAATAATATTTTTAGTATTTATGTCTAGGTCTCGTACAGGGTTGTCCAACCTGTGGCTCCTGAGCTGCAGACAGTACTGCTCTTTAGTGTCTTTGTATTGGTTCCCTGCAAGATGATATTTGACAGATGTATTTGAGTACCACAGATACACAGGGCTGTACTCCTCTTTTTTTCTTCTTTTTTTTTTGACAAACCTTAAGTTAATAAAGTTATTTGGCACCTGACACAAATCAACACACACACAGTCAGAGTCTCCTGATGTGTAAGTGTGAGCAGAGCTGACTTTAGGTTACAGTGATGAAAGCAGTAAATGTGTTGTACCAAGTACTGAAAGAAAACACAACAACATTAGAGAAACATTACAGTTGATGTGTTTTCTGTAATGTAGTTGTGTTTTGACCTTCAGGGCCACCGTACTTTAATGATTGAGTTTTTTTTTCTTCTCCAGGACAGAAGCGATAATAACAATGATCATAAATGAAATTTTTGAGATGAAAGGGCTTGTTGTCTCTATTTTATTGTAAAGTCTCCTTTATCTCCTGACTGTGAATCTGAACCTGAACCACACTTTCCCAGTGTGGGATCATAGCAGTCTTTTCTCGGACTGATCTCACCTGGACTCCGGTCTCTTCTACTCTGTGTGCAACATCTTTGGTTTTCCTGCAGCCCAATGACAGGACATTGTACATGGAAAAGAAAAAACAGATAGATTAGATCTGAGTTGTAAGCTGCTCCATTTACATGTGTGGACATGTCCAGACTGAGTCTCCATCTGTCTGTATCTGCTGCAGCACACGTGTATGTGTGAGCAAATGCTGACAACTGTGTTAACTCAACTCATGTTTGTCTGTTTGGTTTTTGCTGCAGGTGTCAGTTACCTCTTCAGTACAAAGGCTGGTCAACAGACAAGTCAACTAATGGTAGGAATTTGTATTTCTTCCACATTCATTAGTTAATAATGTAAACCAGAGCTAGGTAATACAATTACAACTTCACCAGCTCCGTCAACACCCTGCAAGATCAGATTTTGACTGATATACTTGAATATGAAAGCTAGCCCAGGGCAGTCGTTTTATTTAAACAAAAATTAAGTCAAATTTTGCCCATGATACAATAGTGTCACAGTCTCTCTTAAGGTAAATATTTAAAAAAAAAATAGAGGATTCTGGCCAAAAATACTATTTTTTCCAGTTAAGAAATAGCTCGAGCTTAAGGATTAAACTTAAGCTGCAAATGCTCTAAAGAACATTCAGAACAGACAACTACAATTGTTGGTAAATCCTTAATTTATAAAAAGAAGTGTTAAACAACATAAAGTCTGTTCAAGTGCCCTGACTGGCATGATTCAAAAAGGTACAGTTTGTAATATTAGGAACAAGCCTTTTTTAAGCTACTGCCACTATATTGTTTTAGCATTTTTTTTTCTAGTACTTTTATGGTAGTTCCATGCAGGAAATATAGAATATTGCTGATAATTTTTCTCTGATAACTTTTCAAAAGGTTAAACTTAGCATGGCTCCGTCCCCACTCACTGCTCCCCTTAAAGCTGCCCACTGTTGACTTTGGTGATGGGTTAAAAACAGAGGTCACATTTGGTTGTGTGCAGTGGTGAGCTGTGTCACAGTGACGAGGAGTTCACTTTCCTTCTATTCCTTAGACCTCACAAGTGTGCAGGTGTCTAATAATCAACAAACAGGCACATATGTTGGTAGAATAACTGTTTATGCATTTTTGCAATAATACATTGATAATTTTCAGAATACACAAATACATATTTGCTTTAACAAACTAAAATTCAAAAACCAACATTTTATGTTTGTGAAATTTGCTTAGTAGCTTTAAATGACTAATTGTAAAGATACTCATAATAACATTAAATAGTGTTTACCTGGCAGGCCCAGGTTTTTGATGCGGGAGTGTATGAGGTACTTGAGTGTAGTATTTGTTCTAGGTCTGGTATGCAGAAGGATTTATGGCAGTCTTTGATTTACCAGTGAATGGGTGTGGCCTTCTACATGATGTTATTTACTTTTTATTTTTCGCATGTCAGATGTTTAAGGATAAATGTAAGTTTAAAATGTAAATATCGACTTCTTACTCAGAGTTAAACATATTTTAGTTTCCAGTGTCATTCAATAGATGTTATTTTAAGACGTAATGCAAAGCTACGTTAAAGTAGAAGTATTGATATTGATGTGTGCAATGCAAATGTTGCTGACTCTGTTTACCATGTCATGATTTGTCCTCTAGTCCGGTCTAAATGTGCTGTGCTCAGTGGACCTCTGTGGGACCTGGTGTCTTGTGGACTGGAACCACTGGGAAACTACTGCCAGGTAAGAACACATCTATGCAAAAGCATAGAAATCCTGTAGCTAACATGCTGTGACTAACTGTAGTGTGTAAAATACTGACTGAATACAGAAGCAACTTTTACTGTCCCACTTCAAAAAAGAAAATACAGAAATGTATCTCCCATGTTAGAATTTACAACAACAAATACCCAAGAAAAAAATGTTTATGCATCAGATCTTAAATGTATATACAGTCTTTACATGCTTAACCATCCACTTTGGCTCAATAAAAAAAAGTATTTACAGTTTAAAACTTTAAAACTTGAACAAACACATAAAAAATTGTAATGTAATATCTGGAGTAATTAATGCTGAACAAACACATAAAAAATTGTAATGTTGAGTAATATCTGGAGTAATTAATGTAGTTTAAATTTGTAACTTTAGGTACAGTATAACTTTCAGCAGTAATACGTTTCAGAGGGAAAGATGAAAGACAGCACTGGCATTCTGTCTTTAATCCTCAGTTCATTCCAGGTCAACCTGTGGAGCAGGATTCAGGAGTCATGGCACTTTTATTGGTTTGAAGTGGCCTCCGACTTAGGTATGTAATGACTTTTAGATCATCTTAAAGAAAGTCATAAAAACGGTTTACTTCCCAGCGCTCCTTTTCTTCTCAGCTCCAGGGTGTGCAGGCCCTCCTGTCGACCCAGTGCATGTTGCGTTCCCACCTTGTGGGCCGTCTCTGTGGCAGTGATGTCAATCTGGGCATATCTGGTAAAGCTCTTTCCTGACAAGACACAAAAACTCAATTTAACAGTAAGCATCAACAAACTAACGTTTTAAAAGCCCTTGTCATTGAGTAAACAATCATGTTGCTGAATGAAATATTTTCTACAAGAACAGGTAAAACATTTGAGATCAGGATTCACAGACTGGATTAAGATAAACATCTGAGTGACAAGGCTGTACACCACCACTTTACTTCACACCTGTGTCAGCTGTCAGGTCAGTATGACAAAACCTGCAGTGTGAAGTTCTTCAAGGACTAGAACAGTGCTGTAGATGCACAGTACAGACCATTTACAGCTTACAGTACTCAGCTAACCTTCTGCCACTGTGACAGGATTGTCTACTCATGGACAAGGGCTCAGGAGTGTTGTCCACTGGTGAATATGTCCAACTACAAAGGTCTACAGACAGGAGAATGGAGATAGTGAAGGAAGAGGGCAGCAATGCATCCAGAGAGAGCCCCAACTGGACGGACTTAACACAGGAACCCAATGAATGAATGCAAGATGCATCTGCGGAAAAGTGTGCAAAAACCCACGTGGCCTAAAGATACATCTGGCCAGGATAAAGTGTAGGGACCAGGGGAACATACTGCACAGGACCTAGTTCTGGTAAGACGCAGGAGGAGCCCGACCAGGAAGCAACCCACAGTGCCCAGCCTCTCCAAGCAGTAGAACCTCTGAATCCCTGCAGGATAGTCCAACAGAAGCGGAGCAGGTGGCCTTTGGCCTTTGATTGCAGCCTTAAAGAATCCACATCCATCCAGAGAACCAGCAAGGAGCTCGAGGACTGGCTGAGGCGTGTTGACAAATCAGGCCTGCCAGGGAGATTTAAGGCTTGGATTTACCAACATTCCGTCCTGCCCCAGATCCTGTGGCCTCTGCTAGTGTACGCAGTACCCATGACAACTCTTGAGGCCATGGAGAGAAAGATCAGCAGCTACTTGCGAAGATGGCTTGGCCTACCCTGCAGCCTGAGCAGTGCTGCCCTGTACGGAAGTAGTAACATCTTGCAGCTCCCGTTCAGTGGACTCACTGAAGAGTTCATTCAGTTCAGACCAGAACACAGGGGGAATCCTGCAGTACAGGGAATCCTGTGATGTGAAAGTGGCATCGGCTGGCATCCAGGTGAGAACAGGCATGAAGGGCAGACCATGCTCTGGAAGTGGCAGAGTCGCGACTGATGCAGAAGGTGCTGGTGGGGTCCATAGCCTCAGGGCGTGCAGGGATTGGCTATTTCCCAGCAACCAGGGTGCATAAGGCTCAGGGAAAAGAGCGCCAACACCTCATTCAGGAGGAAGTGCAGGCAGGCGTGGAGGAAGAATGAGCCGGCAGGTTGGTGGGGATGAGGCAACAAGGAGCATGGACTAAATTGGAGAACGTTCTGCAATGAAAGATCACCTGGTCCAACGTCTAAAAAGCAGACACCCTTAACAGTCCAGGCTGTTTACGATGTCCTACCAAGCCCAACCAACCTCTACGTCTGGGTCAAAACAGAGACACCATCCTGTCCCCAGTGTCCAGGACAGGGATCCCTAGAACACCTCCTCAGCAGCTGCCCAAAAGCCCTTGGAGAAGGGCGCCATCGCTGGCGTCATCACCATGACCAAGTGCTAAAGGCGGTTGCTGAGAGCACAACCATGGCCATTAACACCATCAAGAGCCACAACAAGCCTAAGACCATCAGTTTCCACAGAGCTGGAGAGAAGCCCGACATCCAACCAAGGGCCAGGTCAGGCCTCTTCACCTCCGCCCCTGACTGGCCACTGGAAGTGGAGCTAGGCAAACAGCTGAAGATTCCAGCCAGAATTACATCCACACGGCTCTGACCAGATTTGATCATTGCCTCACATTCCCTCAAGCAGCTGATCATTCTGGAACTCACAGTTCCCTGGGAAGAGCGCATGGAAGAGGCCAATGAGAGGAAGCGTGCCAAGTACCAGGAGCTGGTGGATGTGCAGGAGCCAAGGCTGGAAGACTGTGAACCCCTGGAGGTAGGTTGCAGAGGATTTGCAGGGCGGTCCCTCTGCAAAGTCCTCACTATGCTGGGCCTCACAGGGGAGGCAAAGAGGAAGGCCATCAGATCTGCAACTGAAGTCGCAGAGAAAGCCACAAGTGAAAAGTGACAAAGAAAGACATTTCCAAACAATTGTGAAAGGAATCATTGCTCTCTACACCCACACTGTTGCTGGAGGTATGAGACTGTGTTACCACATGAAACTCAGGAGCATGTAAATGAGTCAAGTGAAGCCTTTAACATTCAACTCATGCACTCGCTTCCATATCACATCACTGGCATTATCATATCTGCGTCCTTCGCTGTGTGACACTGAAATGAGCAGGACGTTGGGTTTAATCACCACAAGGCATGAATGACTATCAAAGGGAGATGTTGCTGCCTCCTCCTCTAATGACTTCAGTTGTGTTTCAGACAATCTCACGCAATGGAGGAAATTGAAACCAGCTTCTTACAAGAAATCAGCCGTCCCTGCAGCGGGATCCTATCATAGCCAGCTGTGACCTATGACCTCTCCATCAGCAGCCATTGGACACCACACACTCCCAGGTGCCAGATTAATGAGGTTGCTGACCAGGATATCAACTGTACTGCTGCCATCAGAAATGAACCTCTGGTATTAGAGCCCTGGTGGTCTGCATATTCCTGATGCTAATAGCCAACGTATGTGTGGAGTATACAGTAGCTCATGACCAAGTCCCTAATGACACGGACTCAGAGGTAATGAACTCAGACCACATCAGCTCAGACAATCTGATGATGTTAAATGGAATTAAAAAGCAATTAGTGTTTTGGAAAATGAATGTCCAGCATGGCACGGATATCCTGGTCTGAACTAAATTAATCTTGAAATTGTCTGATTTGAAAAGAAAAAAAAAGCCCTAAAGCCACAACGCTGTCAAGGTGTGACAGGAGACTAACAGGGTCAAAGATAAGGTCATTTTCATTTGTGTTCAACCTTTGAGATTGTAACATTGCTTTACCCTAATCTATAAAGAGTAAAATAAATTGTGACGATTATTACAAAGTTCCAGAAATGTTAGGTCAGTAACAGCGGGATATGAAATTTAGTAAAATATATGTCGACCTCCTTGTCCACACAATGTCCTTTTTTTTTACATTCTAATTACATTTTCATTCCTTGTCCACACAATGTCCTTTTTTTTACATTCTAATTAAACCCTTTAATTTTCAATTAAAATGATGATCCAACAAATAAAATTTGTCATCATTTTAACTCTGTCCCCTTTTGTATAAAAGTCACAAATATTTTTTGCTCCATCTCCTACATTCACATTACACTACTAACAATCAGAACTGAAGACGCCTTTATAATGAGTTGACCTAAATTTGACCTTTGACCAATGAGAATCTACACATAAGACTTCACAAATAATTTACTTTCAAATTAGCTACTGTTTTTCTTCCTACAAGTCAAGGTGTCGCCTCATTTGACCATTATAGCTCCACATCCCATACTAGACTGAAGGCTAGTTACATTTCTTAGAAGGGCTCAGTTGTATGAAGAAAGCACAAAGGGACACACTGAATGCTTTTCTTACTTTGAACTGTGGGGGCTGTCATGCTCCCCCTAGAGCCAGGTCCCATCTCCTGCAGCTCCAGCTCCATGTAGTTCACCTGCTTCTTCGATGTGGGACTCACAGGGATATTTACATAAGTCACTCCATCACCACACAGTCGTTCAGGTGGGGGCGCCTCTGCAGGGAAAACAAACGTTGCCCCTGCAGGGAAACGTTACAACAATGTTACACACAAAAGGAAAAAGTCAAACCAGAGAATTGTAATCATTTAAAAACAGATGCAACTCATTTTAATTAGGCCCCTGCAAGAAAAAGAATTTGTCAAACTAAAATTGGACTTTTAAACCTTTCACTTTTAAATGTAATTTTTGGTGAGACGTGAGTGAGTTCTGGGGGGAAAAAACTAGGAATAGACATCCTCAGGACATTACAGGGTTCTATTATACAGGTATATACATTCCTAAAGCTGTAAAAACAACAGAAAGCACTCAAACACTTCACAAAAAGAGTTTAGATTTCTGCACTAATGTCTGATCAACTCTTTCTACACAGAAAGTATTTCCATATAATTTTAGTGACTCATAAACAAACCTTCATGGCAGAGTTGAGGTAACCTAACACAACTTTACCTGTCTGTACTCTCACCATCTCTGTGAATCATTTCAGTAAGATGATTTGTTGATATGTTAATCACCACTTTCTTCTCTTTAAATCTGTCCTGTTTCCATCATTATGACCTTAATTAAAAGATAATGAAATGGAGGGAATAATTAGCCCTGTGTCATTCTGACCTAATCAAAAGCTGGAAACATTTACCTCTAGTCACAGTGAAATTTAGTCTCATGAGCAAATGACCCTCATTCAAACACAGGATCAGCAGTAACACCAGAGCCAGTTCTATAAATTGCTCTCCTTTTCCTGAGGCTTGATTTGCATAATTAACTGGACTAACTGCCCTGCTGGATAAATGATTGCCATTTGTTGCTTTGGGTGCAGTAAAAACTAACTTTCTGCCCTTTTAATTAATGCATCACCTCCTCCCTATTACTGTAACTGTGAAAGTGCTGCACGTCGGAAGCGCAGCTCCTTGAGACATCCCTGAGTAAAGTGATGTTTTTGTTTAAAACTGAAATTATTAAACTGTAGATGAATTAATTTTCTTTATATTTTTATATTATAAAAATAATGTATATTTAATAATTTATTAAATTTATCATTATATTATTACTAGTAATAATAATAAAGTATTATTATTATTAATTATAAATTAAATGTATTATTACATTTTATATTATTTTATATATAATGTATATTTAAATAATATAAAAATATTTTATATTATATTTTTATATCTTAATAATTAATGATTTTTGTTCTTTGATGAGTGACCATTTAAACCATTAAACTACAGTAGAGTTTCAGTGGCTGCAGCCTGCGGCAACATCTGAGAGATGGTACGACTGATCAGTCGTTCACTGCACCCTTGGCCATCGCTCAGGTTGCGTGTTTCCTGTTGGCTGCCATTACAACTATGGTTTTCACCCTCTACTCCACGACTGGGGGAGTTCTCTGTAACACCCTCCCTGTGTCTAGGATCCTGAAGGCGACATGTTGAATGTGAAATCTGCCTGAGCCTGTGACCCAAACTCAACACAATCAAGTGCTATTTTAGGGGAAATATAGACAGCTGTGTCTTCAGGCTAAGAAACCTGTTCTAGCTGGTTTTCCACAGTTCTGTTGTGGTGCAGCAGGCAGATAGGAAGCTCCAACAATGTCTGACATAAACCTGCATAACAGCTTAAAGGAAGGGAGTTACTGTGTAAGGCTGCCTTAACAAGCTGCAACCAAAACTGGTTGTTTCAGAAAATATATTCCACTAGTTCATCAAAACATGACACTGATTACATTTTATTTTTATAGGGGACCCAACTTTAACCTGTCAGTTAACCTGGACAGCGGTAGAGTAGTTAGGGATTATGGTTAGGGTCAGGTTAGGGAGAGATCATTTGGAATTAGGGACAGGGATAGAGTATCTATCTTAATTTCTTTTAAATAAATAACTCTATTTTTATTGTGGTGCTGAACTGGTTAGAGTCTGAAGGGTTTTAGGAAACTAAATGTCATGTTTGATGTTGTGACCCACCTTCAGTCTCCTGAAGGAACCTCTGCTGACCACAGCTGCCCATCAGCGCATACTTGCTTCTGTCCTCCACCTGAAACACAGTGAAGGGACGGCTCATTACCGTTAGCAGTGAGGATTTTCACGATCGTCAGTTTAATTATAATAATAACTTTTCTTTTCCACCATTCAGAGGATCCATCAGCAGATGTTATAGACAAGAAGATAATCAGGCTTTTTCTCCCAGCTCCACTTTGGTACAAAAGAAACCTGAAGAGCAGCATCATAATGGAAAAGGCCAATTTGAACAAATTGCAGCTGTTGTGTTTCAAAAAACTGTAGAAAGGTTAGAAAATGCCCAGAGTGGCCATTACATAAATGGTACATGTAAAGAGAGAGTCTTAAGGAATGAGTCTGGTGCTTGAAGTGGACACCATAAACAGAAATGGAACAAAGTCCAGATCTTCTCTCACTATTCTGGATCTGACACTCATAACTTCAAAGTTTACAATTGTTCTCCCACGTTTACTGTGTTCTTGTGGAACATTGAGGTCCATTCATTTTTGAATGGGGCAGTGGTGGCTTAGTGGTTAGGAAGCAGACTTGGGTCTGGAAGGCTTCAGGTTTGAGTCCACCAGCTGCCAAGTTCCCACTGAGGTGCTCTGAGCATATCACCGTCCTCACTCACTGCTCCTCTTAAAGCTGCCCACTGTTCACTTTGGGGATGGGTTGAGCTGTGTCACAATGACAAGGAGTTCACTTTCCTTTCCTTTTTGACTAACCACAGGTGAAAAAGCTAAATATTCTCTGATCCAATCTGCTGTTGTTTCCTTCTACTCTGTGTTATCATTCCTTCATTTGAATTATTTATTTTAACAATCTTTTTGTTGGTTGTTGCTTTTAACACACACAACAAACCTGCTGGGAGAACACTATTATTGCAGTTTTAGCTGCATGTGTGTGAGTTGTTCTTTTTGAGAGAATCCAAGCTGCAGGTAGGATTCATGGGATAATTTACTGGAAAAAAAACCCTAAAACTTCAAATTAAGTTTCAAACATGTTTTCCGTTCTATTCCAGATCTTATTCCTAGTGCCGTTGCACTGAAGCTGCTTCCCTCCGACTGTTTAGCTGACCACAGTCCAAATGTGATGGTGGATTAGAGCGTTTTGGCCCAGCCTACCTCAGAGCTTCTCTCTGCTGAACGATGCTCCATAATCTCATAGGCAGGATCAGTTCTGCACCGCTCCTCTTTGCTGTTGGGCTTCCTGTCTGTCAGAAGAAAAAAACTGTCCTGTGTTAGACATGAAACCTGACACAGCTGAAGTAACAATACTTGATTTGCTGCAGATGATTAATCAGAATAATCCAGTAAGCTTCAATGTTTGTCCGCAGAGGAACAGAGTAAGTGTTTAAAGTCAGAGTGCAGGAAATTCAGGACTCATGCAAAAGGTGTGAAAAGAATTAGTCCACTTGACACAAATCAACAGGAAGAAAAACAGGGTCAATTGAAGAGGAAAAAAAAAAGGAAGAGTATCACAAGAACGAGGATCGTCAAAAAAAACCCAGGAGATGATGTAGAGCAGAGGAATGCCAGAGGCTTTGTTATCAGTTGAAGAGGAAACTTCAGAAGACACCGCTTACCTTCAACAGTCACTGAGTGAACATTCATCTCCTCATAACGACACTGCGCGTCCACGCTCTGCCATCCTTCAATGTCACCTCTGCTCAGCACCGACTCATTTACAGCCACTTCACCTTCAGGGCGTTTCTTCAGGTTGAGCTCTGATGAAGAGGTCTGGACTGTGGGAAAGTTCCTGATGTGGAACATCTCGGCCCGGGGAGGGGGATGACAATGCTCCCCCTGGCACTTCAAGCAGTTTTCATAAATGACTTCTCTTTCCTCTCGCTGCGACTCTTGTGGTGTTGGAGCAGTTGTTGCAGATTTGAGTTCATTTCCAAAAGCAGGACTCATAGACTCGTACAAACTCATTCTCTTTCTCTCGGCCTCTGGCTGCCTGTCAGCACTTGGAAAACTGAGCAGATCAGCAAAGAGACTCACTAATTTGTCTCTCCCTTTTTTTGGCAACAATGAAACCTCACTCGTCCTCTGGGGCATTGAAAATGCAGGAGGCGCCCAGACTTTCTGCAAAACTTTCCTCACTGTGATGCCGGACTCTGTGGCAGTGCTGGCTCTGCACGCTGATTTGTCAACACTTTGATCTGCTGGATTGAAAATGTGACTCTCTTCAGGCAGCAAAGCTCTTCAACATTTGATTTCTTCTCCATAATCATATCAGAACTGTGGCCGCTGCACCAGCAGTTTGTCACATCATGCGTCATTTCAGACTGTGCATGCAACATGCTTGGGTGTGATCAGAAGGTTCTTCTTACCTATTGTGGCAGCCGTCAATGATCCACTTGCAGGAACGCATGGCGCCCCCTGTGACAGGAGTGAGGAGAAACACTTTAGATTTTGAATGCAATGTGGCCTAAGATGGGTTTTATAGTTCATTACAATGTTCAAACAATCTAGATACATTTAAAAAATCATAAAATATTTAAAAAATTATTTCAATAATGTAAGCTGTATTTTCCAGTGTTTATAAACTAACTTGGTCCCCACTTCTTTTTTGCATCAACAGGTAAATCGTTGATTTGAACTGACATCAGTTAGTGGACGAGAGCCAATCCAGACTGAAAGCCATCCTGTTCTGTCAGATTAAGTTAACACAGGTCTGAGCCGAACTAAACTCAGTCTACAGCTAATTACAGATTCATTCAAGATTCATTCTGTTACAACACAAGCAACATAATACAGTGTCTAAGCTCTGAATACAAGCTCTCTCCTCAGTTTAAAGGCACAGTGATCACAAGTTTACAAGTGACTTTTTTTGGTAGGTTTTGTTTGCATTTTTTAAACTTGCAACATATGTTTGTGTTGTTAATTAATTTATTGGAGCCTGAAGTTTAATTGTTTTTTTATATGTTCTCTCAGTTGAAATGTGCCAATAATAAAAGCTCTCCACTTTAATTGACCTCACACTATTTTTCTCAGAGCTGTGCCACCTATTAAGCACTGCCATCCAGTTCATTTCACATGGACTGGACCAACAAAAAAACAGTGGGGCTTCAAAATAAGACCAATTAGTTCGTTCCAGCCCTCTAGAAATATACTCTTAATTAATTTAATTAAATCCCCCTATCTAAACATCAAAATAAAAAAAGATATAAACAAATATTGACAATATAAAATAATAATAATTAAAATGGGTAAAATAACCCAGCAAGTGAGAGTGAGTGAGACACACATAATAATAAAATTAAGGAATGTGATGTAGTGATGTAATGAAGTACCTACAGTAACTTGACGTTTTTATTATGTTTGCTTCTGGCTTGGCATTTGAGTTTGGATCGGGTTCTGATAGTGTGATCCAGCAAAAGTACAGGAGTGGGTAGAAGTGTGTCGTACTCAGTCTGAAGGTGACATGTACTGTATGTCCTCCCACACTGCACATGCCCGATCCTTCAGTTTCTGGACTTTATCTTTTTGAATGCAAACTTTGTCCATGAAAAAAACAGACCAAATGATCAAATTGGATGTTTGTCAAGTTATTACCAGAAACAAATGCCTCACCAGTAGGTGGAGCTGATGCATAAAAGAGAACATATGTGGGCAAAAAAAATGTTCCTTTAGTGGTAAGTGACTATTAGAACCAATGGATGCCTGTTTCATTGTACAAAATTAGAGTTTAATTCAGTTTAATTTAAGCTCTTCTACTAACTGAGTACTATTTATTCCTTCCTAATTCCCAAATCTTCTAAATTCTTATAACCTGGTAATCATAAAAACAAATTTAGTAACTATAAAAATATTAAATTAGGTAAATTATCATGAAACACAGAAACATCAGGGTGTCTCCAAGAGAGAGTTTCTGCGACTGTAACTTGTCTGATCAAACCACCGTGTCAACCACAGTTGGCTGAGACACTACTTTCGGACAGATGGGCTGTAGGACTGCTTTTCACACTGAAACTTCACAACATCACCATCGGTGTACACAGTACCACAAAGGTCGTGTGACAGTCAGCCACCTAGCAGATGATACAGTGACGATGAGGCCTGTTCCCACAAGCTGCTAACGCCTGACTCAACAGAGCAGATGTTTAACAAGAATGTTGCCCAGAGTAAAGATGGCCAACATATAGATTTAAATATAAAGACTCAATGTATGGGCCTTTACTCACCCTAACGCCACCACAGACCGAGCAGATGGCCACGATGGTTTTGGAGGCAGATGTGACCGAGTTGTAGATGTGACAGGAGTCTGGACGTCCACTGGAGGACAAGGCCTCGTTGTTCTTACTGTCCTCTGAGAGACCCACTGAGTGTTCACTTATCAATTCTGTTTCTCTGGCCTCACAGGTCGTAACACTGCTTTCATCCACCTTAAGCTCGACAGTGAGATCTAACAGTGCAACAGCGTCAGCGGTTCGTGTGGAGGGTTCACTCTCCATGTCCACTCTGCCCTCCGGCAAAACACTCTGAGAAGAGTCGTACAGGTACCTCAGTGATGAAGGTACCTGGTACTCATGTCCAGAGACAGTCTGGCAAGAACAGGGGCTCAGGCCATGGGCCAAGTGAGGAGGCAAACTGAAAACAGAACCAAACTCCTCCCCAGAGTTTATATCCAAACTGCCTGTGTAGGAGGAGAAACTTCCAGAGTAAGAGGAATGGCTGCAGGTGGCAATGCCGCTGTCTGAGGAACTCTGACGACCGATTTCGTGCAGGTGCCGCGGGGGCTTGGTCGCAGGCCTGCTGCCGGCTGCTTGACTCACTGACAGCTTCTCCACGCTCTGTGCTGTCACTTTGGCAGGCACGTGGCTGAAGGTTTCAGCCGGAGCGGAGGTGGGTTCGGTCCAAATGGCCAGTCGGCTGCCAATGCTGCAGTCTGAGTGGCTTGTGTCTGAAGTGTCGGAGGAGCCGGAGATGCTGCGATCGTCTCCACCTGCAGAGGGGCAGTAGGTAGACGAAGCTGCCAGGAAACACAGTAAAGAAACATTCAGGAAATGTCATCGTTAGAAACAACAGTTTTATCACTAAACAACAATGAACTTAACTACAAGCTTAACGAGAGATTTAAATTGACTGTAGGTGTCAATATGGATGTGAATGGTTGGGCTAGAACTCCAGCCCCCCCTACTGGAACCACTTATTCTTTACATTACTAATAGTTAAAGATAAAGCTGTGTCTTGTATTTTGTCTCTGTCCAACTCATTAAAACCTAATTGAGCTCTTACACTTGGCTGACGCATTAAATGACTGTCACTCTGTGACATTAAAGTAATTCATTCACATTACCAGTCGTACAAAGTGTCTCAGTTGATAGTTTTTCTGTTCTTTTCTGATAGTTTGGGTTGTTTTATTTTGGGTTGTGTGAGGACAGTACATACAAGTCAGTTATTCATATTATTATTAGTCCACCTAAAATACAAACAAAAAAAGTCATTCTTTGGTTTAGACATTTACCCGTGCTGCTCCTGTGGGACAGCATGCTCAGCCTCTTCTCCAGCTCCTGAGTCTCGTGGTTCAGCTTCTCCTCTGTGTTAGTCTGACTGGAACTGGGATCTGTCGGAGGAACACAAGGAGGAGACAAATGACAAAATCAGAACCAGAACTCCCAACAGACGCGCGCAAATCAGAACCAGAACTCCCAACAGACGCCTGAGTGCTCATGTAACCCTAACTAACTCCTTCAGTGGCTGTGGACCATCAAACAGAGTCTTGACACTTTGACAGGGAATAGGGATCAAGAGGTTTGCACTGCAAGGACGCAGCTGTGACAACAGTGTGAATGACTCCAGAGGAAGGAGCCAGAGAGCTCTGAAGCACATGGGTCTCACTAAACTTCATGAGGCGTCACGAAGAAGAAAAAAGTAAACCACAACGTACATTTTAAAACACTTTTGCTGCTGCCAAGTTGTGTAAGAGGCAAGAAGAATTGGGGTTGTGGGGTCACTCAGGGAAACACCTTGCAGTATTTGTGCGACACTCAATGGTTATTAATAGCACTGACACATAGCTCTGTTGGCACATGACCTGCTACTGGTGAACACAGTTAGTTGTTCTGTGAAAACAGAAGAATTTAAAACTGAGTGTCATCTATTTAAAAATGGTCAATCTGTTGTCTTACAAAAACTAAAAACTTCTGCAGCAGAGGAGAAACTAGTCATGACTGATCCACCCTGCACACACATTCTAAAATCAATAAGGAAAGAAACAGAAAACTCTGAAAATGTTTTGTTTTCTTCTTTGCCATTTTGGACATTGAACTACTTACTACAAATTATTCATCTGAGTCAATGTTTAGGTATTTTCACCATTTTTTAATAATATTTAAAAAAAGCCAAAGTCTGTCATTCTAGGTCATCTTTGGGTTTTTTTTTTCTCTCTTCGATATTTTTGGTTTCCATTTCAGTAAATGTAAGATATGCTTTTTATTTTATAATTTTTATTTTATATATTGGCTCTTTTATTACCTTTCTTTTTGCATTTTTTTGTGTATGTGGCAAATTTTGTTCTCTAGCCCCTCTAGACTGCACTGACTCAGCTGAGACCAGTCACCGTTGCAACAGTTATCAAAGATTTCCAGTAGATGCCAAACCAAGGTCTTGTGTTGCAAAACAAATGACAAGGGCATGTATTTTAGTGAATACATGCTCAACTGACAAGTTACCCAGCCAATCACACTCCGCTGTATTTTTACAGCTTGCTCATCCCTTCTAAGCTCCACTAACCCCTCCTCCACCTCAACCAAGTTGGAATCCTCTGGCTGTAGTTGGTGACACGGGAGGGCATGGAACTGTAGACAGAATTCAAAAAGGCTGCACCGTCCTGGGAGAAAACAAAACTTCACTAAGTGATGCTGAGAGCCAAGTGTTTTGACATGTAGAGTAAAAGAAAGCCTTCTCTATGAATCAAGTTGTGTTCAGAATAGGCTTCGCGTTTGAGCTGAGGCAGAAACATTACTTTAGATGAGGTTGAAGGCAAGAAGTGAAATAAAAAATAAAAGATGAGTGAACTCTGAGGGAGCGTGGGGCAGTGGGTGGAATCTGATGGATGAGGTTACGTACATGCCCGGAGTGATTAGAAGGCTTTGGCTGCTTCACTTACATGAACTTCAACTTTGACCCCCTCGTCCCTGCCCCCACCCACGCCGTCCTCCTATTCTACGACATGCAACGGTTATAGAAGCATGAGCTCAGCCCACAATCAGGCGGTGAGATGTGTTAAAAGCAGAATATCGATGCACGGCTCAGGTCCCCACAGACTCCCTGCTCCACACCTCCTGTAATGTTGCCGACAGGCCAAGAATACTTTCTTCTGAACTGACAGCGTGAAAACAGAGGTGTGAAAGTGAACGGCTTGGGAGCAGACAATGTTTATCAGCGTTTATGGCAACTGAACTGTACGTGGTGCATTCAGAGAAATAGAAAGCCAAGCTTTAGAGAGACTTGGTTCCCTGGCATCACTCTGTCTTGAGCACAACGTTCAAACTTCTCTCCTTCCATATGCCAAGTCATTATTATTAATTGCTGTGTGGCATTTGTACTTGTGCTGTGTTTTTTATTAAATCAATTAAATCATCATTAAGGCTCACATTCCCATGAACTTGCAGCAACATTGTCTGGCTAACATGGAACATAACTTGCAAGATGACCGTGTTCATTTTTATATATACAATCTATGTCTGCTGTTGATGGAGTCTAACCTGTGTGGACCCCGACCCTGTGGGCCCTGAATTGGGACAAATCTTGCCTATTTATTAGCTCAAACACACAACACTTTCAACAAAATCCAGCCAGTCATATATCCTCACCCACTAGGGGGAGTACAGGCTCATCCATAGATACAGTAGATGACAAATAAATCTGCAGCTCTAATCTCAGTTATTACAGCAGTTATCCTCTTACATATGTTAAAGGTAACCCTACTACCCACATTCACCACAGTAGACTTGAGTCAGGCTTTCAGGCGTCACACCAAAGTTATGAACTCAGTGGATTACCTAATTACTTCTATAAAAAAAAGACAGCTGTCATTCATTATTAACGTGGCATCACAGCAAACTCATCTAACGAGCCGCACTGACTCATTCTGTCAAAATTGGACAAATTCCAGGAACACATCACACCTTGGTGCTAATAAATCCCTGGAAACAAGAGGGACGCAATGCAGCGACTGTTGGTAATGCAGTGGAGTGTTGACTTAAGTGTTTGTTCACACTCCTTGGCAACAGTGGGCTTCGTCATTATCCAAATACTGTAAGGATCACGCTGAGATCCACCCTCAGCCTCTTTAATAATAGTACCTGAAGCTTAACTTTCGTCTGCGCTAAGATCGTGCGTGCTACTGGTTTTCCAGAGCTTTTCCAGTTGAGCAACATTCAGAGACCTTCTGAAACTGACCTGGTAAAACGGGCCGCAGTCCAAAAGGGCCTCTTGTGGGGGAGATGCCTCTGACGATGCAGTCAAACAGAAAACTGATCTGCTCGCTCTCAGCAGATGCCAGTAGAAAGACCCCGGCCCCTGTGGAAAGAAGACTGATGTCAGTCTCATGCTCTTTTCACAACACTGTAAAAAGATGCAGGTTCAATAGCTGTAATTAAAAAAATGTTACAGCGATGTCAACAACCGGTAACAGTAACCTCCATTATCTCTAATACAGTGCTGTGGAAGAAAATCCTAACCTTAAATGATAAAAATTACAAAAAATACCCAGAATCTGTGAAAAAGGCCTTTACGAATTTAAAATCCCAAAAAGGAGTCGAGTAAAGATAATCATTAGTAGTTCACTTAAAACATGGGCAAACAGTTACAATTTTTAATCTGAATAATCACACAGTTGCTGTGGATTAGTCATGATTAATCAACATTCTTAAAGACAAAACATTTTCCTGTAAACTCCTGCAACACAAAGACAAACAACTGTAGGTAGATGTATGTTTTTCATATCAAAGACAAACAACTGTAGGTAGATGTAGTATGTTTTTCATATCTGTTGTTATTTGTGTCTAATCCAAATGAAAGGATTATTAATACGGAAAAATGTCAGGAAAATAACCATAACTCAAGATTCTGAATTAAATTAGTTTCAAAGTTGATTCCCGGAGTTTGAAATCAGAGTCAGTGAGGTTTAACTTAAGTTTGAAGATATGTTATAAGTCACGTCGAAGGCATCTGAAAACAAAGTTAAGATGTTTTGGTCAAGTCATTTTGGTCAGTCTGAGTGAAGTGATACGTACTGTATAAAAGTACTACATATGGACTGCAGGAGTACATGTGACTTTACACTGTGGTGCTCAGGGAGATATTTAGATGAGACTTGAAGTGTGCAAATCATATCCAATGTCTGATGCACTTCACTATGTTAATCATAGTAAAGCAGGGGGTAATAAAGGAGCTGAATAACACTATCACACCAAACTTCAAAGAAGAGGTCAAGATGTAGAGGTCAAAGCTCATGACCTCCAAGAATACAAAATGTTATTTATTTGAATGTCGCCAATAAAGTTGTCACTCCTGTCCCAGAGACCACCCAGGTCAGGTTTGGCCTCAAACAAATTCCCCACACTCCTTTGGTTGTGACAAAGGTCGGAGGTCATTAGCCAACTCTGACCTGCTGTCTGCAGCAGCTAAAAGAGGGAGGGGTTTTTTTTTCTTTAAACAGTATTTATAAATTACCACAAATTCCTATACTAGCTCAATGAAATGTCTGTGACACAAGGTGAAGTAAGTTTAGATTCATCACATGTTGTGATTGTATATTTATTTATTTACACAGGCTTTTCTTCTGACAGCTGGTCCATCAACATCAGGTGCACAACAGGGTACACCAAAAAGAAAATAACAAACAGGTGGCAGAAAGCAGGGTTGTCCTGCTATAAACGCAATATAGGAAGGCAATATAAACATCTCCTTGTTCTACCTCTTCCTATAATAATAATAATAATTATTATTATTATTATTGTTACATCTTCTATGTGTAGCACCGTATTTACATACACCCAGAAAAACTGTAAATGCTTAGCAGATATTTTCTCTTGGTGGATTCAACACTGAGACTGAACTCTGAAGATACAAAAAGCCAGAGGTCGGAGTCACAGCTTGTTTCTCTTCATTTAAAATATTAAAATTAAAACAATAAACTGTTTGTTAAAACACCTATGGCTTTGTCCAAGTAATGCTTTTTCATTATGTTGCATAGTGCATAAACACACCTGGTCTAAAGGAATTCAAGGATTTTTAGGCCACATATGTAAAACATTTTTATAAATTGATATCAACAAAGGTCATATTTGATATTTCTGCTTCATAAATGTAAAACTAAACATAAGAATCAGCTTCAAACCTGCTTCCCTGTCTTGCATTCCCACTTTGCTTCAGCCTCGTGTGTGGACAACCTGTACTGAGAGGTCACATACCACAGGAATGTACACCCTTCAACCTTACAAACATTTGGCACCACACTGTGTTCACTCTCATTTCACGACCACTCTTTTCTGTTGGTAAGAAACAAAGTGATGCCAGGCTTTCTGCAAATTATCTAAACTCTGCAGGAGTGCAGTTATTGGGGCCAAATAAATGGCATGTCATTCTGGAGTGTCATCTTTCCAGTCACCTCATCGTGTGTCTGCCTCTGTAGCCTTCAGGTGCTGACAAACCACTGTACAACCATCTCTGCGGTGTTGTCTCTCTGCCAGGATGCAGACTGGTTTACACTACGGTGTACAGTGACACAAACAGCTCAGAGTGATGGTCAGCTGAGGCTAGACGCTGTCTCCTCTCTGCAACTCCTCTGATGTGATAAATCCCTCCAGCAGCTTTCCCATAATTATTATAGAGAGTAAGAGAATCAGACCATACTGACTTACATACAGTCCTGGTCCTACAGGTCTTTGATACAATATGAATGGACAAATATTACACTAAAACCTTTCAATTACGACAGGGAAAAGCTAGAAGCTAAAAGCTAAGCTTGTGTTTTAAGTGCAGTACAAACATTTATTACAGATGTTTTTAGGCATTATTTAGCAAAATAGAATAATTGTAAACTACTCTGAACTTTTCACATATGAACCAAAACATAATAAATCTGTACACTGACTTTCTGAAATCTGAAAGCTTTTTTATCTTTCTTATGGCATATAACTTCATTAAATGTGTTTATAAATGTGTCCGCCTGAGGGAGGCCAGATGTTTGAGCACAAAGAGGGAGAAACATGTTTGGTTTTAACCCACTGATCAAATCTACACAAGATCTAAATCTAATACATTCTGGACATGAGACTTTTTAGCTTTTCTAAATCTACCCTTCAATATTTTTGTCCTTATAAATCACATCCGTCAATTGAGATGTCATCAAATATTCATCAGATTTCCGACAACAGTGGCCTGATCCAAACTAATCACTCTCCATTTATGATGGGGCTTCAGAATGATTGGTCACCCAGGAACCAGAGCCTAAGACACGCCTTGAGGGAAAGTCAGTTGCAGCAATGATCAATATTTTACCAACCAACGAGTTCAAGCACACATACCCAGATAGAAACACAAACCACAAAATAAATCAGAGAGCAACATCTTTTTCCATTCAAAATAATCTGTTTTTAATTCAGTGGGAAAACTGTTAAGACAGAATCCAAGTTGGCAAACCTTTGGCCTCTGAGGAAAAGCCTTCAACAAATCACTGCTTACATCATGATTTGATGAGCCATTAGCCTCCAATGAGGCAGAGCATTCTCACTTTAGCTTTTATCATCATTGCATGATCAGGATGTGTGTGTGTGTGTGTGTGTGTGTGTGTGTGTCTTCTAACACCATCATGTAGTATTACCAATGGTCGTACTCCTACAGTTCCTTTTACGAAATCTCAAAAGTTAGATGCAGTCAAGAAAAAAAGTGAACTCACAGTAACCACATCTGGTTCCTCCCTCAAACACAAATCCATTAGGGACGGGTCCATATCTGCGCAGGTCTGGGAGACTCCAGTGGGCGATGATAACAGGAGGATTGTCCCGGGCCAGAGCCAGGAGGTTGTTGCACAGATGGAGAGTCGCCGGCCCACTCTCCAACTTGGTCCCTGGTAAAACTCCGACACTGAATCTGTGGACTGATGCAACAAATGACGTTTCAGCTGGATTAGCTTAGCCTCCAATATCAGTAGGGACACCATTGTAAACAAATGATTCATTCATTCATCGAAACGGTATCCGGTTTTTCAAGTTAATTAATTTTGGACTGAAAAACAGTAACTGACATGGAAATGTAAATAAAACCAAACATGAAAAATATAAACAGTCATTACACACTAATTCATTCTGCATGGGTTGATCTTCATTCACTCATTTTCTTCATGAAGTAAACAGCTGCACAGAGATAACAACATCAGTGGGCTCAGCCCTGAACACAACAGACTCACATCTGTAGCCCAGAGCAATTAATCACAGAAACTCCAACATCTGTGTGGCTGCGTTGGTGATGAATCTGCGATAATTTCCATGTCTTGAAGCAAAACTATGGCTCATGCAGAAACAAAGCTTTGGGGCCTTGTGCTCCATCAGTATGTGGATTTGTATTGCAAGCACGTGTCAACGTCCGCCCCTCTCCCCCTGTTCCCCCCACTACAACACTTTTATTGGGCCGACAAAAAGTTGAGATTGATAGCATCAATGCTGAAGAAATGACGGCCATCTGTGTAATGCCATCACTCATGTTAAGGGAGATTCATAAGGCCGTGCACACGACAACAAAAGCCCTGTACGCAGGCTGACAGGTGACATTTGCTGGTTTGGACCCAACCACTCTGTGACATTACTCATCAGGCCACACACACTAACACACACAAAATCTCTCTCTCTCTTAAACTCTCTCAAAAAGCGTGCTCTCTCTGAAGAGACACAGGTGCATCTATATTAGCAAACACCACACACACACGAGTCTCTTGGCCTGCTTTACAGCTGGACTCCTGCCAGAAGCTGAACACTCATTGATATTAATAGCTCTCATTTGTCTTTCGTAGATCTTACATAATGCACACACACAATAGATTGTGTGCAAGTGTGCAAGTCCCTCACTTGTCTAAATCTTAACTTACATGAGTGTCAGGAACAATCACAAAACACCTTCAATAAGAATCAGTCATTGTTATCCACATCTAAGCATAGCTAAATTGTTATAATAAAGTCTCACATCTAAGCATAGCTAAATTGTTATATAAAAAAATTACACTGCTTTAACTAATTTTGGGTAAAGAAAAAAAAGAGCAAGTTAATAATAGATTTGGTTTATGGTGTGACAATTACTATTAATATTACAAAATGTCAGGCAACACCAGTGCAAACAGTTACCGTTTACCATTTCTCTGTCATTGGTTTCATGTTTTCTTTTAACCGCTGGGCTGTGTCAGTGATCATTACAACTCCAGCTGGGGTTGAATTACGTTCCCTGTGATTTTTATAATGGAAGCATTTCCAGACAACTTACATCAGCATCATGTGTGAAAATCGTATGGTGCTTTAACTGTCAAATGAAACAACTGAGGAGTCCAGTCCAAACAAATTATAATCAGAGTATAATCAATTATAAATAGATGCTATATGATCTAGTTGGAGATGCATTTTGACATGATTAATCACAGAGAAAGCTGCGAATTAATCAGAATTATTCATGACTAATTTAGATAAATCCGTATTTCAAAATATAATTTAAAAACTGTGTTTCGGAACAGAAAGACAAATGTGTGTTTCACACCTGGCTTTTTTTTTTTTTTTTTTAAATGATGTGATAATAGTTTAAGAAGAACTTGAGAAAAGTATGCAAAGGAATCGCTTGACATTTTGCTTCACAGACAGCATGTCAATAGTTGCTCTCAAAACTTGGGTGAAGACAATATTAAGCTGGTCTTATGCAAGCCGGGCGCCTGACCTCCAGTTGAAGCCGCTACAAACACATGCTGGGCTTTCAGATGGTATTTTAAGCTCAAGTTAATTTGGTAAAACATTTTTTTCCACAGTGTGTGAGTACCAACATATGCATTAGGTGTGTATTAGACAGTTGGTGAAATTATTGAATATACAGAGGGCATCATTCTTCCCATGTTTTAAAATGCATTGGAAATTTTAACCTAATTGATTTTACAAATTAACTGGTTCAACATTAACACTGACAGGCTAATTTTAAAGGTATGCACAATACAAAAACGAATGGCCTTAATTGTTTACCCCTGATCTCTGGGTTGTTTGTCTCATTAACCTAAGAAGCTATTTGTGGTTAGAATTCTACATAAACTTTCTAACCTTAAAACCTGCAGGTGTGACTAATGAGCACATCAAGGTGTTGAAACAAACCTAGGGCCATTTTAAAAAACTACTTTTTTATTATTCTGGATGAGTTCAAGTGATATGTTTGAGGACCAACAGAGACCTAGAAAGCAGGTACAGTTTTTCCTCACCTTCTCCCAGACTGTATCGTAGGCGAATATCCCAGGCCTGCAGAGTCTCTCTGCTGTCGAAGCCCAGTAGAGCAGCCTGGTTCAGGCACAGGATGATTAAAGAACAGGCCACGCCCTCATGCCACTGTCCCGCCTCCAGGCCACAGATTTCCTCCAAGGTGACACTGGCTTTCTCCTTGTTGCCCTGAGCTTTGTCCGACTTGTCTTTGAACACCAACAGGGTCAAACAGTCTGAAAAAAAAACGAAAAAAAAAAAACTGTCCTAAATATAGAATAAATTAATTTTTGTAACTGTTACATATCCAGTGGTGACTATTACATGCTTAAGTTATGTTGTCAAATGACACAACAGGAGCCAAAGTGTCCTTTTGTCTTGGCACCATCAAGCAATTTACTGTCACCTGACAAAACAGGACTGTATGTGTGTGTGTCACTCTCCTTCACACCAAAACACCTCTGAACACACGCATAACTCAGGGATGAGCCACACAGCTGTGACAACACGGACACCAAAGATCTGAGGAGCAGTGGAGACACTAAAACCTCAGACCAACCTGTAGAGAATGTTTGGCTGCACAGCTCTAGAAATCAGATACACTTCATACACTGACTCTTGTTTAATTATATATATATATATATATATAGCTAGAATTATTGATGAGCCTCCTCTCCGCTCGGGATACATTCACAGTTACTGCGTCAAACAAAAATGGAAGTAAAATTACTAATGCGTTAACTTTTCACACTGTGCTAAAAAATAAAAATGTTAGAAATTAAACTAATTTGACCTGTTGTTTCCCAGTCCCCTACAATAAATCCATGTACCCGAAGGGGACCCAACCCCCTACTTTGGGAACCATACCACTGATGTATTTACTAATTTTTCAATAATCATATCAGGTCAATTAAATACATACCAATGAATATGTACTTTTTCCAGCTCACCATTCAAATCTGTTCCAAACGCATCATTAACATTCCTTGAATCATGAGAGTCACAGTCATCTCAATGTTTAGTTTAGTTTAGTTTTGCTTAAGCCTACACCTATTCTGCCCTGATTAAAAGAATTACATCATCTAATTAAGCCATTATTTAATTATAGTTAAATTAATCAATCTAATTTAAAAATATCATGTCCAGTGTGTGCACATTCTACTAAGAATTCCAGTTTCAAATGTTACACTGCTAGGGCTTATTCCAGTTTCAAATGTTACACTGCTAGTGCTTAAAGGGCTCACCTCTGAGGTTTCTAGACCTACATTAACTTTTATTCGTTTTCTGAATATAACTATTAGAGAAAAGTGACACAATGAATGCTGACAACTTCCAATGAATTAAAATATGGGTTTAGATCATATTTAGTATTTTATACTGTATGTTTGTTTTGTCTTGAAGGCCTGGAACAGGGGTGTGCACACTTCTTTGGCTTTAGTACCAGGCTAAAGTGATGTACCTTCAATGAAAACGTTAAATATATATTTACTCATACAAACTGAATATACTTTATACATACATGATATGTTGATGTACTTTGATTAAATGCATGACTGTATGGCACAATATGTTTTAATTCTTCCAGTAAATGTTCACTGCTCACACTACAGAAAAATATTTATATTAAATTATTATTTTTAATTATTTCAATTGCTGACGATCTTTGAGATCTACTGGAAGATTCTGATCTACTTATTGGGCGCCAGTGGCCTGGAATATCAAGGTAAATCAAGAAAGTTCCAAGACAGAAATGAGAGTGCCAAAGAAGTCTGATAGAATAATTCAAACATGAATATCAACAGCAACAGCTTTGACACATTTCATCATTATCTCTTTTTCAAAACCATGGCAGAAATCACACATTCTACACATTTTTATATCGTATTAAACAGCGGAGTCTGTTGGGACAAAGCCGAAAGAAAAAGAAGTCTGCAACAACATCACACCTGGTCGAAGAGACGCAATTAGGCTGAAGTGAGACTTGAACACAGCTGTGTTAACACAACAACCGGACGGTGGGCTGTACAGTTGTTCATGCAGACCACTGTCTTCTTGTCGACATTACTTTTTAATACACGCTTTTATTGTTGGATATTTCCCCACGTCTGACACTGAAGAACACTGTAGTAACCGCAACAGCGTGAACCACAAATGTACCACAACCACAACACCTGGTACGACCAATTTCAACGCACTTCCCTACCCCCTTAATATGGCCGTGTGCAGAGTTTAGTGTGTAAGTCATTGCTCGTTTCATGAATTCGCGCATCCATCTTCGAACGTTAACGGTCACAGTCAACGACGTAAAAGCCGTTGTAAATGCTAAAGTTCTTACCTGCTACAGGCGAAGGCTTGCGGAGAACCAACCACCTAGTTTTCCACTGCAATAGAAAATGAAACAAACTTTTTAAAGAACACATTTACAAAATAAAGTGCAGCGCAGAGCTTGTTGTACAACCAGTGTAAAGTCAACGACCTTTTTTCCATCTCGTAGTCTGGCATATCCCTCCACGACAATCGAATCCGTCATCTTCAGTCATAGTTCCTGACAGCTGCACAGTCGCTGCCTGACTGAAAGGGTCACTTTCAAAATAACTGCCGCCTCTCTCACTCGTTCTCTCTCTCTCTCCCCTGTGAAAGGGGCGAAAACTCGCCCCCAGCCAGGCTCGGGGTAAATAGCACCAGCGGTAGTTGCTGTGCGGTCTGTCTGCGCATCAGCAGGCCGTGACTGTGCCATCTGGGCTGACCTGGTGCACCTGCTGCGAGACAATGGAGGCAGCAAAGGAAATAGAATACAAACCAGGGAACTTTAAACAAACAAACAAACAACAACAACAAAAATGAGCAGCACATACACCCAGGGGGGTGTATGTGCTGCTCACAAACAGCCTGAAATTCAAATAACCAATTTTAGAACTTTTTAAAAACTTTTAAAAATGTTGGGTTTTTAAGATGCTTCCATTCACCAAATCCAGACTTCTGGCCACTTGCAGGACCAGAAATTAGCTATAAAATGAATGTGGTAAAATTATATTTTAGCCTACTAAGCCATTTGTTCAACATCTAGCACCAGGTTAAAACAAAACAAGTCAAGATACAGTTTAATCATTGTGCTGCACATACCAAATATTACACAACGGTATTTAACAGCAAAGTCAGAGCATTAAAAATACACATTTCCCAGATTTCAGATAATGAATAATTACTGGTTATTAAACATTTCACCGTTATAAAACATTAGTAAGAGATCCCATACATAAGCTTTATCCACATTTTATACAGTTTTGTCCACTGAATGCATCTTATTTTAATTTGCTAAAAAACAAAATTCGATACTTAGCATGTTGATGCTGAAAGATTTCACTGAGGACTCTATTATAAGGAGCATTTTATCAGTAATCTTAATTTTGCATCTACATTAAATCAGTTTATTTAAAGAAATAAGATTGTGAGACACTGTTTTTTTTCATTAACTTTTTTTTAATTCAATCTATTCTTTTCACAGTTATAAAAAAGTTACAAAACAGCCGGCTTTAAAATAAAATAATAAAATCAATTAAGAACAAAATGTCAAAATTACAGTACATCCTCTTCTTGAAGAGCTCTGGTCATTTCCTGTCATGACTTTTTGGGTTTACGTCTGATTACTGCATTGATCCAGTCAATATAATTCACCACTTTGGTGTAAACGCCAGGTTTTTGAGTGCGACCACAGCCCTCGCCCCAGCTGACAATCCCGTAGAGGAAGTTGACGTCATCCCTCGCACAGGATAGAGGGCCCCCCGAGTCACCCTGGAGTTTACATGCACACACACACACACACACACACATGTTCATAGATGAAAATAAAGGGCACGTAAACAGCTGAGTAACCCAGCTTGGAAGCGTAAGATAAAAACTGTACTTCAAGCATTATGTAAACAAGACGGCTGTGACATTTCAGTGAGGAGGAAGCAGAGTAAATATTTTACACAGCTGACTGTTCAGTGGTTCCCCCATCCCCTCCCCCCCCCCCCC